AAAATAGAAAAATATGCCAGCTAGAAAAACAGATTAATAAAAATGAATAAATAGATAAATACAAAATTAAAAAAAGACATACAGTTCAATTAAAAGCCAGGCTAAAAAGGTCGGTCTTGAGTTTGCTTTAAAAAAATCAACACTGTGCAGCCCTCAGGTCTTCAGACAGCTGCTCCACAGACGTAGACCATAGTTATGAAACGATGCCTCACTGTGTTTTTTTTTGTTCTGATTAAAAGGCCACTTCCAGGAGACCTGAGGGTTCATATGATAAAAGCAAATCTGATAAACATGTAGGATTAAGATCATTAAAAGCTTCAAAAACCAATAAAAAGGATCTTAAAATCAATTCTGACCTTATGTTAACAACTAAAGTGGTCAAATAAATGTTGTGGAGTAAATGTAGAAAGTGGCAGGAGTAGAAAAGACCAAGGTCAACTGCAAATACTTTCATACAGTACTTGAATAAATATACTTGGTTAATTTCCACCATGATCATATAATGAGTTCTTAAATTCCCTCTTCAGCCAGAATATTGTGCAGCAATCTTTCATCCATGTTCTCTTCTGCTCCCAAAGATAAATACAGCATAATCACCATTACCTGGTGAAGGCTGTTCCTTTCTGAGTCACAAAGAAAACCAGTAAATGTATTAAAAACACAGAGAGGCTCAGTTACTGCGCCACCTGGTGTTTACTCTGTGAACAACCGCTGGGAAAACATTTACCGGAAATAGTCTTGGATGTCATCAAGGAAATGTCATTAATCATTAATTAAAAAGGTGAAACAGGATTCTGGAATCCTCATCATAAAGTCACCATCAGTGCAGGTCACCTTATGTGTGTCTCAAAGGTGTGTTTTCAGACGGGGTTTAAGGAGGACAGGGAGTCAATATTGTGAATGTCATGATGGAGAGAGTTCCAGAGGCGGGGGCAGAACAGCTGAAGGATCTAGAGCCCATGGTAGTCAGGAGAGCAGATGGTGATGTGAGCTGGACTGCAGAGGAGGATCTGAGGGTACAGGAGGGTTTGTAGATATGAAGGAGTTCAGACAGGTAGGAAGGGGCGGGGTTATGAAGGGCCTTAAAGGTGAGAAGCAGAATATTTAACAGGAAGCCAGTGAAGTTGCTGGAGAACAGGACTGGTATGATCTATGGAGGGGGGTTCTGGTTATGAGAGTTTATGAGGACACTTAAGAGGAAGACCAAAGAGGACAGAGCTGCAATAATCAATACAGGATGTAACCATAGAGTGAACAAGGTTAGCGGCGCTCTGAGGTGTAAGTGACGGGCGAAGACGGTTAATATTACAGATGAAAGTCTGCAGACAGAGTAACATTATTGCTGTGGGCCTGAAAGGACAATGTACTGTCCAGGATGACACCCAAGACGTTTCTCAATCTGCGTTCTTGCCTGTACTTGTGTTCTTGCGGACTTGTCAAACGTCATCAGTCGCAGCCCAAGTACTGTTCCAATTCAAAGTCTGCATCCAGCCAAGTACAGTCCAAATGCCCGGATGTGAACTTGCTCTACCCGTTCCATCTGGGATGCATCAGGAGGGGACAGCCAGGTATCCCAGAATGAATTTCTCACAGACGAGCAGCAATGGCAGCGGTCCTTGGGAGTTTGTACTCCTGAGTCGAACTTGCCATGTCTGAACTCCCGAATGCGCAAGTCCGAACTTGGCGTACTTGGTATTGAGAAATGCCACCAGACTCTTATCCTGATGGAAGGACAGACTTTGGAGAAACTATGCGGTGTGGCCAGTGGAGTTTTATCACTGTTGAGTTTGAGAAAGTTGCATTAAAGCAAAGATTTAATATCCAATAAGCAGCCAGAAAGTTGTAAAGGCAGTTACAATAGGCTCCAGTGCACGCTATTATGACGGGCCCTGGTGCACGCTTGTTACTATTTATGCACCTCAACTACCTCCCGTGTAATCTTATCATCTTGTCACATTATCAACTGGAGACTTGACACTGTTTAACACCGACATACATATTATCCAGAAATAATCATCCCATATCCTCCTGAGACCTAAACTTTTGTTTGGTATGCATCTCCAATTTCTCCGAGCTATCTGGGATCAGTAGGACCTGATAAATATAAAAAACTAAACATTGTCAATGAAAATAAAGCCCCCTGCTGTGTCTCAAATCGCATATTTCTTTACTTACACTCAATATTTTGAGTGCATAAGTGCGTTCACACTGAGAAGTATGGAAAATGAAGTGCACTATGAGTACCTGGATGGTGCACTCAAAACGGTCAAGAAGTTGAGTGTGGAACTATGGACACTTCTCGCCCTCAATGGTCGCCATCTTGGCTACGTAGCGGAAGGGGAGGGACCACTTTTCGAATGTCGCTGCATTGTACGAATACATGTGTTTTTTGCACTAAGCACCACTATACTGTTGTCAGGTATAAGCCAGCAGAATGTTTATTGGGTTAATTTAGCAGTCTGTAATGATTTGGTACAGCGCACGATAACGCGAATGCTAATGCTAGTTTGCTAACTAGCTAATTTGTGGTCGTCATTTCCAGTGAGTGCTTGTTGGTTTGAGACAACACTACCCTGTCGAAATTTGCGCACTACACCAATGAGTACATAGTGCACATGGTATACTACATGGAAGTGTGCTAACGGAAGTATGTGATCTGAGACACAGCACCAGTGTCCTCAAATTAGTACTTTCTAATTAACAGTGTCTTACTGTCGCTAAAATTAGTAACATTTGTTTCCATGTCAAACTACAAACGTTATCAATCATAAATAAACAAGTTTCAACCACATAATCTGATCAGGTTTTTGACCGTGTCCACTTTTGTGTCGGGATCGGCTGCAGACTGTTTTTACGTGGATTAGTGTATTGTGCTCTTACTACCACTAGATGGCACAAAGAAGTGTCCACGAACAAGGACAACAGGTCTGAGTTATGTAGAATGAAGTATAAGGTGCAGTAAACCCAGTTAGTGGCATCTAGTGGTGAGGACTGTAGATTACAACCAGCTGAAGCTTCTCCTGGTTAGAATTCCGTCAGTGTTTATATTTCAAAAGGTTTTACACCAAGAGCCGAAGTCTCCGCAGAGGTCTCTTCCTCTCTGAAACAAATGGACCCTGTGAATTAAACCAGTAAAACCACTGGCTAAAGTAGGATGCCTGGATGCTGTTTGACTCGTCAGAGACAGGCTGCTAGCCCAGCGCCTGCTAATGTTTGCTAACCTTTAAATTTACAGCGGGTAACTAGCCCATATGAAATATTATTTTGAGATATTTAACGTTACATTGAAACCTGTCATAGAAATAATATGTCTGACTTATTCATTAAGGCCTGCATTGATCTATTAGCTCAACGCTAACACGTAATGGGAATTGCCATTAGCGCGCTGACGGAAATTAGTATCGTGATTGCAATGATACATTTTTGTTCACATGCAAAATAAAAAATGACGTGCTCATACTTGCAGGGATATGACCTGTTGAACAAATAGCTGCTGACCTCACATTACCAGTCAATATTGTAGTTAATGCTGCATTCATGTGCTCCTTGGACTGTCGGATTTTTCAAGTTGAGAAGTCATTCTTCACATATTGTGACTTTATTCAATTTTTTTTAATAAATGTGACAAAAATTTAATTTCCACAAGAGCCGTTTACAGTCGTTTACTGTGATGGAAAAGATATATGGTCGTGGACATGTAACTGTTATCTTAATGAAAATGATCTATCAATTCATTTCAAATATGTATCAGACCAAGACCAAGATGGACCAGAGTTGAAGAATGACACGTACATGTTTAATTAAGATCTGAGCAGGACCTGAAAATGCAAACTCAGCCTCTGTGGACTGTGCAGCTGTTGGTGTGTTTTGAGTCTTTGTCCACTAGAGGGCAGGATTCACCTTCCTTCACTCTCCTGCCGCTCTGAAGACTTCACAACTTCCTGATTGTGTTTTGTGGACTTGAAAGGATTCTCTCAGGAGCAATAATGTATGGAAAATGTTTTCTGTTTTTTTGGGTTTTTTTTTTGTTTTTTACTCCTTTAAAGCATGCTTGTACCTGACAACACACATTTCTAATTCTCTGAGAAAATGCCCCCAAATTCAGTTTAAACACAAACTTAGTCTGCGTTTAGGGATGAACTGTCAAATCAGTGACCTCTTTAAATTCGGCTAATTTAGCCTTTTGCACTTCCGTCTTCCTCCCCACGTGTTTTAATTTAGTACTTGCTGTATTATTCATGCTGGAAGACTCATAACTCAGATTCACCTCAAAGACATATTCTATTTTAAGCTCAGAGAGAAAATGTGTCCCTCGTTTATTTTCACATATTGTTTCTGTAGCTGCTGGTTACTTTCTGACATTAGAATTAAAAAGTGTTTTGTCATATTTGGTTTCCTTCAAGTGTTTGGATGCAAAGCTGTGGAGATCTGATGAGAAGCAATGAAAAACCACATCAGGCGACTGGAATCAATACGTTGTATATGTCTTAACGTGGGACTGAATATGTTACAGACTGGAGAGGGTAAATATACTTAAGGCGCAGAGGGTCGCCTTCTGCAGCCTCAGTCACTGCGCGCGGGCAGCAGCGCACAAACTGAGTCTCCTGCAGGAGGGTCTCACTGCTCAATCTGTTTTTAAGCAACAACGGGAGGATTATTCTTTTTGTCTGAGTGTTGGAAACACAGAGTTTGGAGTTGAGACGCGCTGCAGGTGATGGTGGACAGAGGGTGTGAGCGGCAGTTTCATGAGGAGAGGTTGACATGGCACCGAGGGCCTGAGTCTGGATATCCATGGAGAGTTTTTTTAATGAGAGCCAAAATCACCCGGACCAGCATCAGGTGGTCACAGCGGGAGCGGACAGCCCCGGGCCGGGTGGAGGTCTCAGTCTCCGCGCGCTGACCGGCTGCGTCCTGTGCGTCCTGATCGTCTCCACCCTGCTGGGGAACACTCTGGTGTGCGCCGCGGTCATCAAATTCCGCCACCTGCGCTCCAAAGTCACCAACTCGTTCGTCATCTCTCTGGCGGTGTCCGACCTGTTCGTGGCCGTGCTGGTGATGCCCTGGAGGGCGGTGTCCGAGGTCGCCGGCATCTGGCTCTTCGGCCGCTTCTGCGACACCTGGGTCGCCTTCGACATCATGTGTTCCACCGCGTCCATCCTCAACCTGTGCATCATCAGCATGGACCGCTACTGGGCCATTTCCAGCCCCTTCAAGTACGAGCGCAAAATGACGCGCAGGTTCGCCTTCCTGATGATCGGTGTCGCCTGGACTCTCTCCATCCTCATCTCCTTCATCCCTGTGCAGCTCAACTGGCACCGCGCGGACGCGGACAACTCGACCGCGGAAAACCCGGACGACTGCAACGCCAGCCTGAACCGGACCTACGCCATCTCCTCGTCCCTCATAAGCTTCTACATTCCCGTGGTGATCATGGTGGGGACGTACACGCGCATTTTCCGCATCGCGCAAACCCAAATCAGACGCATCTCGTCTTTGGAGAGGGCGGCAGGGCCCCGTGCGCAAAACCACCGCCACCGCGCGTCAGCGCACGACGAAAGCTCCCTGAAAACATCTTTTAAGAGAGAAACGAAAGTTTTAAAGACTCTCTCCATCATCATGGGAGTGTTTGTGTTCTGCTGGCTGCCGTTTTTCGTCTTGAACTGCGTGGTGCCTTTTTGCGAGCTGGATAAAGTCAGAGAGCCGCCGTGCGTCAGCGACACCACCTTCAGCATCTTCGTGTGGTTCGGCTGGGCCAACTCGTCCCTGAACCCGGTCATTTACGCCTTCAACGCCGACTTCAGGAAGGCTTTCTCCACCATCCTGGGCTGTAATAAATACTGCTCCACCTCCACGGTGGAGGCGGTGGACTTCAGCAACGAGCTGGTGTCTTACCACCACGACACCACCATGCAGAAGGAAACCTGCGCCATGCCGGGCCCCGGGGCGCAGAGACTCGTGCCGCCGCCGCAGCACACAGGTGGAGACCTGGAGCAGAACTTTGACAAAGTTTCTGTCATTTCAGATGATTCACGGAACCACAGCAACTTACTGCTGCCCGCCATGCTGCAGTATGAGTGCGAGGCGGAGATCTCTTTAGACATGATGCCCTTCAGCTCCTCCGGACCCGCAGACTGTTACGTTATTCCGGGTCAAATCCAGGAGCTGTGAGCTGGGAGACAGTAAATACTCAACATGTCTGACACGATACAGAGGCCCTGTTCAGTTTTGTTTCATCCTGGGCCTCTACACATACCAGGCAGCAGGGATCATGACCCTCTACCACTGTGCCAAATTTCAAATGGATTGACCAAGTCAGTGAGGAGAAAAACGTGGAACAGACACACACACACACAGAGAGAGAGAGAGAGAGTTTTCGTCATTATATGGTAAGATACATTGGCGAAACCCCGACAACCTGGTTTCACTCTGCAGTTGTTCAGTACTGGTGCTTGGGCAGTGATTCCTGCCCTTTCACATCGCCATCATGATTATTGTGTAACTGTAAGATTGTAAAGTCAAACCATGTTCTTTTTTTCCTAAACCCAACCATGAGTTTTTGTTGTTTAAGGAAAAAAAAGTCACTTTGCGGTGTTGTACCAACATAGTGCTTTTATTTTGAAAGAGACTGAATGCAAACTGTACATTTCCTGTGAAAACAGACACTGCGTCCCGGAACGACAACAACCAACACACCCAGGGTACCTTGGACGTCATATGTGGACGTGGAAAGTCCATGACCAAACGTGGACATGTGACGAGGTCGCAGTGAGGATGAGTTGTCTCTGTAGTAACTCTGAAGAACTTCTGTTAAAGACACAGGTTACAAACAAATCATCGAATTTTAATGGAATTCTTTTGTGATATTTTAATTTATTTATTTTAATTCTGCATGTATTTCTGACAAAGTGATATATTAATACTAGAAAATCATTTTAATGATAGTCTTGATTTCATTCATGAACCATTTCACTCTAATTGTTTGTCAAATGCCGCCCTGACTTCACTCTAATAAATTAGCTAAAGTGTGTAATAACACAGAGACCCGTCTGGCTGATTGTCAGCAGCAGTAAAGTCCAGTTGTTTGTTATAATGGATTCAGTGACATTTGATCCAGAGTGGTTTGACGTGAGTGCTCCGTCCTGCAGCACTCACTGAACCTGCCTTTGATATGTTAAAATGATAATTAATACCAATTACTGCGTTAGCTTCAGTGTTTATTTGGCCCTTCAGGTAATTGCAGGCTGTGTCTGTCGGAGAGCTCAATCGCTGAGACTCAGTGAACCCAAATAAAACATGACGCTGATGAAACATTCAAGTGTTTGTGTCTATTCAGACAGTCTGTGTTGTGACGGTCAGACAGAGAGTGTGATCAATGCTTCTGTGTGGCAGTGTGGTTAAAGTGAAGGTTGTTGAATTATTTCAGATGGCCTTTGTCTTCTTCTTTACTGAGGTTTTATCTGCTGGTTCTGAGGAAATGCAGGTTGATCCAGCACTTTGGAGCAGACTGAAATATCTCAGCAGCTACTGGATGGATTGTTCTAACACTTTGTACAAACATTCACAGTCACCAGATGATAAATCCTGATAACTCTGATGATCTTTGCACTTTTCCTGCAGCACCACCAGCAGGTTGATTTTAATGTTTTTCAGTGAAATGTCTCAAAGGTGATGGGATGGACTGTCATATTCCCGGAGCTCAGTCTCACTCCCAGCTTGTTAAATACCGACACTTGGTCAATGGCCCTGAGTGTGTGATATTGACGCACCCAGGTCCCCCTTAGCGACTGCATGAGACGTACCAGGCAGCATCATTCTTAGACACTCAGAGCAACTGATTTAATATAAAGAACGACAAAGTGTGAGTAGGGAGAAGGTCAGGGTTGTCAGATGGGTCAAACAAACACAGGACTTTGACCCAGAAGATCACTGTTCATCTCCTTTGTGATACCAAACGTAAGCGTTGAGTTATTTTAACTACAGCCACAAGACTTTACGATATACAGCAGGATTTTCCTAAAATCAATGTGTAAAGTATAAAGTAATCCCTCCCAGTCACCACTTGCTCTCAGTGTGTGGTGCTGCGTTAATCTGCAGAGACTCTGCCCTCTGCCTGATCTTATTTTTTTGCTCCTTATTTTGGTGTGTTTAGGACATAGCACCGAAAAACGAAAATGCAGTGAGGCAAAACCCAATCGCCCCCCCCCCCCCCAAAAAAAGTTAGCGGAAAAACAGCAACGAGTCGCTAAAAACAACTGATTTTGTTCTTTTTTTTTAGTTGTTTGTGGTTTTCAGCTTGGCAGATGTCTTGCCTAATTTTCGGTCCATCACCGGACGACAAACGTACAATGCTAACATTTCTCTGGTGTATAATATCTAACAAATTAGCAGTCCATGAATGGCGTCGTCACATTACGTAGTCTACTTAACGTAATACACTGCCTGGCCAAAAAAAAAGTCACCACCAAAAAAAAAGGTCATACACTCTAATATTTCATTGGACCGCCTTTAGCTTTGATTACGGCACGCATTCGCTGTGGCATTGTTTCGATAAGCTTCTGCAATGTCACAAGATTTATTTCCATCCAGTGTTGCATTAATTTTTCACCAAGATCTTGCATTGATGATGGTAGAGTCTGACCGCTGCGCAAAGCCTTCTCCCGCACATCCCAAAGATTCTCAATGGGGTTAAGGTCTGGACTCTGTGGTGGCCAATCCATGTGTGAAAATGATGTCTCATGCTACCTGAACCAGTCTTTCACAATTTGAGCCCGATGAATCCTGGCATTGTCATCTTGGAATATGCCCGTGCCATCAGGGAAGAAAAAATCCATTGATGGAATAACCTGGTCATTCAGTATATTCAGGTAGTCAGCTGACCTCCATTCTTTGAGCACATACTGTTGCTGAACCATGACCTGACCAACTGCAGCAACCCCAGATCATAACACTGCCCCCACAGGCTTGTACAGTAGGCACTAGGCATGATGGGTGCATCACTTCATCTGCCTCTCTTCTTACCCTGATGCGCCCATCACTCTGGAACAGGGTAAATCTGGACTCATCAGACCACATGACCTTCTTCCATTGCTCCAGAGTCCAATCTTTATGCTCCCTAGCAAATTGAAGCCTTTTTTTCCGGTTAGCCTCACTGATTAGTGGTTTTCTTAAGGCTACACAGCTGTTCAGTCCCAATCCCTTGAGTTCCCATCGCATTGTGCGTGTGGAAATGCTCTTACTTTCACTATTAAACATAGCCCTGAGTTCTACTGTTGTTTTTCTTCGATTTGATCTCACCAAACGTTTAAGTGATCGCCGATCATGATCATTGAGGATTTTTTTTTCCGGCCACATTTCTTCCTCAAAGACGATGGGTCCCCACTATCCTTCCAGTTTTTAATAATGCGTTGGACAGTTCTTAACCCAATTTTAGTAGTTTCTGCAATCTCCTTAGATGTTTTCTCTGCTTGATGCATGCCAATGATTTGACCCTTCTCAAACAGACTAACATCTTTTCCACGACCAAGGGATGTGTCTTTCGACATGGTTGTTTAGGAAATGAGAAGCAACTCATTGCACCAGTTGGGGTTAAATAACTTGTTGCCAGCTGAAAGATAATCGCCCATGCAGTAATTATCCAATAGGAGGCTCGTACCTATTTGCTTAGTTAAATCCAGGTGGCGACTTTTTTTTTGGCCAGGCAGTGTATTATGTAGGTTAGCTTCAGGAAAAGAAACACAGTGACAATGTACCTTAAAATAACTCAAAGTTCTCTTGGTTTCAAATCCTGCTGGTCAAAGTCCTGTGTTTGTTTGACCCGTCGACCACACCCTGCATCCATATGGTATCTTATTTGCTCATACTACGTGCTTGTACTGCTGTCAGCGCATCGGTCACGTGATTGGAGCCTTCTTTATTTAAGTTATATTACTGGTTCAGGATTACATGGGTTCTATAGAAATTGTGATGTATTACTTTATGTACGAACAGCATGCAAACGGTAACTGACACTTCCTGAGCTCATACCTTATAATCTATTTATGTCAGTTACTTTTTTTTACCCAAAACATGCTCTTATTTCGTCAACTCATCTCAGTGGTTTAGATTCTTAAACCTAACAAGACGATTACTTTGAAAAGACACATACAACGAGCAGAAACTGTGCGCTTCCTGGGAACACTAAAGTTTATTTTAAAGATACTGTATACAGGTAATGAGTGGAAACTGACACGTCTAAAACTGATGCCAGAGGGTCACTTAGAGCGTCATAGATTGACACACAGGGCCACCGGCCAAGCATCGGTATTTGGAAGTCTCTTGTTTGATTGTCCAGGATGAGCTAATCCATTTTACTTTTGTGCTGGTTTTCAAAGCAACACTGGACTGGATCAGCCTGATCCAGATACAGAGTTTTCAAGACCACATCTGGATAATTAAAGCTTAAACAAATCAAGTGCAAAATGAAGTTTCATTACATTTTGTACGTGAAACCCACCTTGAATCCAGCCTTCTGCTTCTGAGCTATCCTAGTCCTACTGAAAAGTTTTGAACAACACATCCTGAAGGTTTGATTGGGATCAGAACCAGGTCCGGATTACATGATCTAGTCTGATTTCAGAATCCTTTTTTCTTTTGAACAACCTATTTTTAGGATTGATCCTTTCCAATAGCCAAAGTCCTATTGTGTTATTTCTGAACGCCTAGTGCCAGAGGATACTTTACAACTGTAACTTAAATCTGGCGTCATCATCAGGTCATTTTAATGTGTCCATTACTTTAGTTTATGAGTAAATACCTGCAGAAGTATAAACATCTCTACCTCAGCTTCACTTTGTGCTGTACAAAATAAGATGGTTAAACCTGCGACACATCAGCATGTTACCACTGTGAGCAGGTTTAGTGTCTCTGTGAAGGACTGAGTGTCTGATCTTTCAGACCGAGGATGAGGACATATTCACAGAGTCTTCTCCAGGCTGCTGTGTGACTTTGGCCCGGATGGAACAGGTGGAGAGCTGCGATTCTGTGTCCCTCCAGATGGAGAAGCCAGAGCTGATTATCATTCAGCTTCCTGCCAGAGACACAGAGAGGATGGATGAGGGAGAAAAGTTGAACACAAAGACAGAGAAATGATGTCTTTGCTTGAGGAATTAAGTTTCCACACTCAGAGCTGCTGTGTGATCCCACAGAGAGCTCTGCAATCTGACAGCATTTTGTCCAACTTCAGCTCAGTTTGATGGACAGTCCGTCCATCTGTCTGTCTGTCCTCCAGTTTAAACAGCTGAATTTGAGCACCAGGCTGTTTAGCTTTCCAAATATTCACATCTTACAGTCCTTTGTGATTTTGGCTTAAATCCTATAATCTATTTAATTACATTTTCCATAATAAACTGCTTTAGTGTTCAGTGGAAAAGAACTGACGGCTTCTGAGGTGTTTCGTGCTGTGAGGAAGCTTCATTCTCATCGGATTTCCTGCCAAATTAAATCCAGAAAGAGGACACAATATTAAAATTTTTAAAAATGTGCTGAAGTCAGATTTAAAGCTCTGGAGTCTCATATTATAAACACTGTGTACGCACAAATGAGGCCTGAAAGAAATGTTGTGATGCATAAAAACAGACTTGCTGGGAGAAACTTGACCCACGCTTATGAACATTTTGGAGACAGGAAATTGGCGATGCAGATGGTGAGGTGGAAGCCTGATTGTTGAATATTTGGTAGAAATAAACAGGCTTAAAACCATTAAATTATTATTTCCAGAAAAGCTAATCATAGACTCTTCAAAGTTCATGAAAGAGGGAACCTGGAGTGGTAAAATGCTGAGTCATTCTTGGTGGACTCGAGGCCAAAACTTTTCTACCAAGCTGTGAACATATTTTTCTGCTGTAAAGTTGGACATGTTAACATGGGTCTGTGGGGACTGAATTGCTTTTGAAGCCAGCCTCAAGTGGACATTAGAGGAACTGCAGTTTGACACTTCAGGAAGGACATAATGTTTTAGCCCCAGAGGAGGGTGCTGCTTGTGCATAGAATTACTTGACGCCTTTTCCAGAACACTTTTCCTTGATCTTGGTTAACATGAGGTCAAGGAAAGACGTGAAGAATAGTTTAAGGACTTAGAAATCCGGACATCCATGGCGAAAGTTTTACATTGATACATGATCTACATAACAGTGGTCTGCAGCTTGGCAGGCCCCTCACCTAGGTGTCAAGCCGACATACCCCTCCTCCTAAAGACCAAGTCATAAATATGAACTATACAAGTGTAAGTCATTTTTGCAGGGACACTTTCTGGCAACTTGACTGAGTCCCTTCAACACCTCCGCTATTCGTATGTGCGCCAAGAGTGTTGCCAAATTCACTTTACATTTAAATTCAAGAAAGCTTGAGTTTATTCCTGAAGAGTAGTTCAGAATTTACACATAGGGGTTGATCTGTTAAGTTTGTCTCAGCACATAGATGTATGTCAGAATTTAGGGAACAAGAGGCCATTTTAGAACACGATAAGTAGCCAATATTCTTCTACACAGCCATCACTGGATCAGCATTCACACAAGTTTTCTAAAAGCAGACTGCATTTTAAAGCAAATGTAAATTTGCTTTAGGTCACAAGAATTCAGTATGGTAAGACTCAAGACACAAACGACGTCATGTCAGTTCTTTTATTTTGAATTTAGCATACTTAGCAAAAACAGTTCCAGAGAGGCTAAAGCTCAGTCAGCAAGGTGACCTGCAACACAGGGAAAAGGTCAAAGTCAGTCATGAACCACCACCATTATAAAACAGCTTAACTTCAGTTTGCATTTTACCTCTTTAAACCTTCTTTCCTCCTTTGCTCCCAGCCTCTGGTGGAGACATGTGTGGTGCTTTGACGGTCTCAGCAGCAAAGACTGGTGGTTCAGGGTACTCTGGGGAGTATTTAGTGTGGGAAAGGAACTCTTGTGCTCGCTGGTAGCCATTTCTGGACTGGATGATGTAGGATGAAGGCGGCAGAGGGGGTAGAGGGGGCAGAGGGGAAGTCTCGCTCATGCTCTGCGGCATCTCGGTATTGGAGTCCCAGACACTGAAGTCTGGGAACTCTCGAGATGGCATCCAGTTGCTGGGGTCGGAGAATGAGGAGTCGGCTCCCCCTGCAGGCTGCATGGACCAAGGAAGGCCAGGAGAAAAATCACCGTCATCACCAGAGCTGTAGGCTACAGGAGCAGCGTAAGCATAAGAGCTGGCAGAGCTGGAGGCTGCAGGAGCACCGATGTAAGGAACAGGTCCGTCACCAAAGTCCATGTACCCAGCAGCAGGGTATGCTGGAGCAGCCCCGTACACTGGACCAGATGCCGCCCCACCTGAGCCCATGTTGAGGTTTCCACTGGTGCCAGCAGCAGACTGAGGCTGCACAGAGAAGCTGGGAGTCTTCTTCCCATAACTTGGTGAAGAGGCTGCAGATGCACTGGGAGCTCCCACACTGGATGGGGACTGGTTTCCAGTGGAAGAGCTGGCCTGCTGGGGGGCTGTCTCAGGCTGCTGAGAACTAACAGATGGTTCATACTGCAGGTTCACCAGAGGAGGACGTGAGCCTTCAGACTCAAGGTTTGATCCAGGAGCTGAACCACCACCAGAGCTCCAGGTGTAGGGATACCTGTAGTCTGGACAAACAGTCAAAGTGAGTCAGCATCTGCAGCCAATACAGGAAGTTCTTACAAGTACTTGATGTGTATGAGTAGGAATTAGAATTTCAAACTTGCATTTTCTAAACTAGTTGAATCAGATCTCAGGAAGCTTTAAGCATTTCTCAGCAAAGTAGTTTAAGGATTTATGGCACCAGAGAGACAAAGTCAGTTTGTGAATTCTTTACATTTCCACAACATCTGAAGAGCCATTAAATTAAAAGCAAATTAATTCTGGATACCTTTGAACCATCTGTGTGGTCAGGAATCTGCTGCAAGACAGTAAAAAGAAACTCACCTCCTTTGGTTGCAGGAAAACAAGCACCACTGCTGAACAGCAGCAGACAGATCCAAGACACCCTGTAAGGTGGAGACAGGAGAACAAAGTTAACCCCCCAGAAGCTGACACTGAAGTAGAACTAGAGCAATCATTGGTTATATTGTATAAACTGATTTAACTCACCTTAAAGACAGTCCGTACATCATGTTTGACTCGTCCTCTGCAGCCTGTTGAGATTAACAGAAGCTCTGAGCTGTGAGGTGAATGTGGCTCCTCTGGTCTTATATTGGTGCAACACATGCTCTCTAATTAAACTCATTAATGACACCTGGAGCCCAATCAGTACCTGCAGCCTGTGTCCACTGGTGGAACACAGTGATCACATCATCGCAGTGTTATATTTTTTGATAGAAAATCTTACTCAGCTGTCAGATATGTGTAGTGTAGTAAAAAAAAATACAACATCAAATTCTAAAATGTGGCTACAAGTGTAAAGTGGCAGACATCACACAATCAATATTTAATCAATATCCTAAACCTTTTCTTGCCTTGTTGCCTTGGTTGGCCACATATTCTTAGTAATTCTGCACAATCAACATGATATGAAGTTAATTTAACAGTTACTGGTAATTTAAATAAAATAACCAATAACCTATAATATTTAAAACTTGAATAACACACAGTCAGTCCTCTGCCACTACACACCTATTGTAGACTGAAGAAAAAGAAAAGAAAGATGGGTTGAAACTGACTGGATTGGTCGTCAAAAAGTAGTTGCACCATATTAAAATATCACAATACACATTATAAATCATCATGTGGTTAAAAATGCAGCATGTGTACAGACCCTTAAGCCCTGTTTCCACCAAAAACTTTCAGTTGTTGTTGTCACTCACTGCTCCGTCCAGCACTCGCTGTATTTCCTCATCAGCGGTGACACAGATGGAAGTCTGCACCTGGTTTATCGTCCACAGAACGAGGCTGCACGCCCACATTTTCAAAACAAAATAGAACAGGCTGCAGTGAGAGTCTCTCTCCATGGGATATTTAAAAATAGCAGCTTTGTGCATTTAGTCCTTCTCAGGCAAGCTCAGGGGTTTAGTGTTGCTGTAGCCCACAGGAAGTGAGGATTAGAATATATGACCTTCACATAATCCGCTCCAAATTAAAATATATTTTATAAGTGTGTGTCATATAAAAACTAAAGTGATGGTCAAAGTTGTCACAGTGAAATTTAAGGTGTGCTGATGGATTCACGTCATCAACTCATGCATTGAGTAACATTACAAGTTAACGTTCCACCTTAAAAGTTGCCGGCAGTCGGCCCAGTGAATGAAGTTATTTTTTTCTCTTTCATTTTATAGTTGTAGTTTACTGATGTATGAACAGAGGTTACATAAAACCAGAGTGACCGTCCTCTACTGACCAATCAGACTGCAGGGTTTCTAGCTCCACCTTTTAGTACCAGATCTGTGTGCTAGGTACCCCAACAGAGGGGGGACCAAACATGGGGACGCTAAGGAACGCTTCTGCTGGTACCATCCACAACTTTTCACTGTGGAAACTTAAAAAATGTGGACCAGACTGAACTGAACTGTACCGGACAGCTTTGGTGGTATGTGCCATGGGGCAATTTTGGTTGTGCTGTTCCCCAGCGTTGGATGCTTAATAGTTCAGTACATGTATTTCTGAAAACATGTGAGGGGAGAAATAAGCCATGCAGTTGCTGTTACAGTCTATATCTTAGATGAACAACGGCCAGTTTTTCATGAGTTACCAGAGTCGGCGTGTCCAACTGGATGCCCCTAATCTGCCTAAAATAACCTAGACCTCAACTTCATGAGTGATCAACATGACACCATGGGTGTATAAAAAGAACTGCGTTGGAGGCGGGACCCCATTCATTCCTATGACAGCTGCTCAGTGGCAAAATGAACCCAAAAATGTTCAATTGCTGTGTATAAAATTACCCAGATGATCAGCGCTGCTTCTGCACTGTGTGGTCCGCACAGTAGGTGCACTAGAGACTTCCGCTGGCCGAGCCAGCTTCTTCCAGCTTCGCACTCCGTTAACTTGATAAAATGGATCAATGGTGCAGCTCTTCTAGACTTTCCAAATGTTATCAGACCAAATGGATCAAATCAGACATCTGTTTTGCTGTGTAAGTCTATGGGAAAGTCTTTTTGCCCCCAGTGGCATCACATGATGGATGTAATTCTACTGTTTGGCCACTATGAAAATTGGCTTCAAAGCCGTGTGCACTTCCTGTTGACCTGTGTGACACCCCATCTTGCGAAACACAATATGGCACTACCAGAATACATTGCATGCCTGCTTACAAAGACAATGTGTGGAAATGATGGATGCCATGGACACATATGATAAAGGTCACTTGAGTGTCTCTGCAATATGAATCAGTGAAGACATTGTGTTGAAACAAACACTGATACACATCTAGTGACAATCTACACTCAGTGACACAGATTGATGTTCTCCCTCGGACTCGAGTGCAGCAGTAAGTGTCTCCTGCCGCCTCTCACCGTTTGAAGCTTTTGTTCCACTTGTGGAAACATGGCTGGTGTCGCATGGCAGCGAGGTCAGAGGTCAGGGAGCAAATCAGACAACACACACAAGCAGCCCTTAAGAGCTGTTCCCAACACACACTCCACTTTGATCTCCAGCAGAAGAAGGACGGGATTGTGTTGCAGCCTCTTTTCATTCACTCTCTGAAATCACTTCAGCTCTGACTGCCTTCACACAACAGCGGCTCTTAAATGACCGTTCAGTAGAGACGGACGGAGACACTGATCATCAGCACAGTGTTAATCCTCCTGAAGAAGTTCAAGCTGTTAGCAGCATAATTTCACCTGACCGAGGATGGAAGATACAAAATAAATCACTGTACAAAGGTGAGACACCACTGAGCAGAATTCAGCGACTGATCGATAAATTCAGGGTTCTGATTAAAGAATCAGTTTGCAGCTCTGGAGAAAGACAGTTCATCAAATACCTACGACCATGGGCAGGAGGTCGGACCAAACAAACAACCCAAAGCTTCAGTATTTGATGAGCTGAGGATGAAACTGAAATAAAAACTGTTCTACAGAGTTACATACTGCACCCATAACTTATATCAATACAGGTTATAGATTTAGAAGTTGATGTGTTTGGTGGGTGTTGGTCAGGTTCCCCTTTATTAAACGTGCTGTATGAACTGAGTTGCCTCCCTAATGTGTTTCACATCACACCACAGTATCTAACAGGTTGGTTTTGAGGTGCAGAGAGTGTTTCCCAGCACCACACAGCAAACAGAGTTATGGCCTATTCTGTATTGCACATTTTTGCTGAAGGTCTACTTTAAAGCAACATAACCCCCCCAGAATCTTCAATCTGTGCAGTTATAACTTTAAAGTTCAATTCAATTCAATTTTATTTATAAAGCCCAATATCACAAATCACAATTTGCCTCACAGGGCTTTACAGCATACAACATCCCTCTGTCCTTGTTGAACTACACACACTGCAAAGTAACAGCAGCAGATCTCTCAGGGTGGATCTCCGTCTCTGACAAACTCTGTAAGTGCCGTTTGTTTTATCTCCAAGGTAACTGATATAATAGCAAGCGGGTCAAAGTTGAGTTTGGCCACGCCTGCCATACAGTCTCCCTCTTTTATTCCTTCAAACATCTTCTTGAAAAGGTCGGTGCTGTGATATTTGCACATATATAAGTCTTTCATAATGTTTAAAAGCAGTTTTGTTCTTCCAACTAGAAATGTTGGATTTTCTTTTGGGCGTGCAGCTCTACCCCACGGCCTTACAAACTGTTGGCGAGTTAGTTTGTGTACAACACACAGAGCTGATTATAAACAAGAAGCTGTGTGTTGCAATCTCCAGTAAAAACCCCAACTGATACACATATCCTGAACACTTTATGCATGTTTAAATATTGCTATAAAAACCCAACTAGTACCAACATCTCATGTCTCAGAAAATGCCACATTTGGAATAAAGCCTAATCAGGAATATCTAAATGGAATATGCTGTTTACATGACCTGTATCATACAGAATATTGTGTGCATATTAACACAGTCAGTGACAGCAAGAATTACAAGAGCATGCATGTGGAGTGAAAGGCAGATGGTATGAGAGATAATGGCTTAAAGTAAAAATGTATAAGTTCAACACATTCCCACTCCGACCTCGTCACAGACGTTTGGTCAATACACCAAGATATGACGTCCAAGGTACCCTGGGTGTGTTGGTTGCTGACGTTCTTCAGCCTGTTACATGCATTCTGTTTTCAAAATACTGTTGTAACAGGAAGTTTACCGTAAAGTCTGTCAAAAAAAAATCCCCACTACATCAGTACAACACCACACATTGACTTTTTCCCCCCTCCAACAACTAATGCACATGGTTGAGTTTAGGAAGAGGGTTTGGCTTAATAAATCTTAGGGACACAAAACACCACTCCTCAGGTGAAAGTGTTTTTTAGACCCATCCACCACCCCTCTTTAGACTTTTGCTGTATTAACTGTCTCTTGTCCTGCTGCATTTCACGCCGATGCCGCAGAGCGCTGTTAAACGGACGGTGACCAGCCGTGTCTCATGACACTGAAGGATGGCTTTTTGTAAAGTCTGACGCCGCAAGTCACTGCCCAAGCGTCAGATTGACAACTTCAGAGTGAGACCGTTTAGTCCTCCTGGCATTTGTCAACTGATACAAGTCTGATCGACTGAGACTTCTCAAAAGATTAACATTTTAACATGCATGTTGTCCTTGTTATACTGGTAGCACTTCCTTCAGTCTTGAGTGGTGAAGACCACTCAAGTGGTGATGGCATATTGAGTTTGTCCCAAGCCAGTTTAGCTCAATTTACACTTGTACCTTGAGATTCTTTGAAAAGGCTCAGATTAGTTTGAGATTTGAAGGTCAGGAAAGTTAATAAAGCCAAGAGTTTAGTTCTTAGACTGAACCCTACAGATTTTAGAGCTGCAGTGACGCAAGTCAAACATTTTGTTTCAAGGCAACATCCAAAAACAGAAATCTGAGAGTTACAGCAGTAAACAAGAGCTCTTATTTTTAAGAATTTATTAAAATTTCTTCACTTCTCCAAAACCAGGTTCAGGAGGGCTCTGCCGATCAGCTGCACCTGCAGGAAACCAAAAAGTCATTCTTTGAAGTAAAAGACAGGTTTCTGAATAGTTTACACTTCAGTTTGCATTTTACCTCTTTAAACCTTCTTTCCTCCTTTGCTCCCAGCCTCTGGTGGAGACATGTGTGGTGCTTTGACGGTCTCAGCAGCAAAGACTGGTGGTTCAGGGTACTCTGGGGAGTATTTAGTGTGGGAAAGGAACTCTTGTGCTCGCTGGTAGCCATTTCTAGACTGGATGATGTAGGATGAAGGCGGCAGAGGGGGTAGAGGGGGCAGAGGGGAAGTCTCGCTCATGCTCTGCGGCATCTCGGTATTGGAGTCCCAGACACTGAAGTCTGGGAACTCTCGAGATGGCATCCAGTTGCTGGGGTCGGAGAATGAGGAGTCGGCTCCCCCTGCAGGCTGCATGGACCAAGGAAGGCCAGGAGAAAAATCACCGTCATCACCAGAGCTGTAGGCTACAGGAGCAGCGTAAGCATAAGAGCCGGCAGAGCTGGAGGCTGCAGGAGCACCGATGTAAGGAACAGGTCCGTCACCAAAGTCCATGTACCCAGCAGCAGGGTATGCTGGAGCAGCCCTGTATACTGGACTAGATGCTGCCCCACCTGAAACCAGAGACAGATTAAAGCTAAATTTGTCTAGAACATTGTGCTCATCCAAGGATTGTTTGGAGTGAAGTGTTGGCATAAGAAGGTCCAGCACTAGACACAAGGCTTGAGACAGCACCACCGTAGGGAACAGGTCTAAAGTCAAGCCCAGGTGTGTTTTGACTTGTTTGACCTGAAACACGAGTTGGATTAAAACAAAACTTGTGCATGAGAAAGTGGAAAGTGAAGTTCATGTTAAACTTCTGAGCTAGTCTCAATATTGTTGGGAGTCTTACCGCCTTTTGGTGCAGGATAACCTGCACTGCTGCCAAAGAGCAGGAAACAAATCCATGAAAACCTGTTCAGACAAAAGTCCAGATTTTCTTCAAAAATCTTGACAAACTAACTACAACCATGAAAAGTCAAAATCTCTGACTCACCTCAGAATCAAACCAAACACCATCCTGAATCCTCAAAGAAAACCAACACAACAGTTCAGCTACAGCAGGTTGAACTCAAGAGTCTGACAGAAGCTGTAGACAGAAGCTTTGTGCTGTGATTGGCCTGTAGCTGCTCTGTCCTTATATACATGTCCTCTCTGCTCTAATCAAACTGATTGATCACACCTGAGTCCAATCACTCCCAGTCAGTCCATGCTTCAGTGCTGGAGGTAAGCTCTACAACATGGGCCAGAGTGACAGAAAAAAACTGTCTTTTGCACATTTGCAGTCACAAAACATACAAACACACTTGTTTAAGATGTGCCAGGCCTGCGCAGATTGATCGCTGCATAATACAACTTCAACTTCAACTTTGTTTTGTCCCTGGAGGCCAATTGGTTGTACAGCAAGTAAAACACACATAATACGCATGAATGAACGCATTTCATGTAAAATGGAGGTTAAACCATGAATCATCGAAATCACCTGTGAAGCATTTTCACAGGTCACTCTATCATAATTAAAACTATAGGAGACTAAGAATATATTGATTTATGGATCTGACAACATTTTAAATAAATTGGCATCAGATCAGAACAGGATGTGAGTGTTTCTGTGACTTCCTGTACAGACTGAAGGCTGCTGGAAACTGTCGGGAAACTGTCCGATTTGACTGCAACCTTTTCTCACCGCCTCCTGCTGCAGCTGCCTGCTCTCATCCACTTTCCAGGCAAGGTGCAGTTCATCTCAACCGAGCCTCATGTCATCTATCCTTGGTTTGCAGCAGCTAGCAAACACACACACAGGCACACACTGCAGTATATAGTGACCACAGAACTTTAGGTTATTTTCAGACATTTCAAGATTATTTTTCGGACATTTTATCAACATTTTTTTCATTTTTTTTTTTTTTTTATTATTGTTTTGGTTTTTTTTATATATATATATTTTTTGGATATTTTTTCAACATTTTTTTTTTCTGATGTATTTTGGTATTTTTCTGACATTTCATTTACATTTTTTGGACATTTTAAAAATGCATTTCAGGCATTTTATCAACATTTCTTTGGAATTTTTTTTAAATGTTTTTTTTTTTTTTACATTTTTCAAAAAATATTTTTTGAATATTTTTTCAACATTTTTTTTCTGATGTATTTTGGCATTTTTGGGACATTTCATTTACATTTTTTGGACATTTTAAAAATGCTTTTCAGACATTTTATCAACATTTCTTTGGAAATTTTTTTAATGTTTTTTTATTTTTATTTTTTACATTTTTCAAAAAATATTTTTTAGATATTTTTTCAACATTTTTTTCTGATTTTTTTTTTTGCATTTTTGGGACATTTCATTTTTTTGACATTTTTAAAATTGCTTTTCTGACATTTTGTCAACATTTGTCTCACATTTTTTCAACATTTTCTTGGGCATTTTCTTAATTTCAGTATTGATAATAATAATTTTATTAATTTTAATAATGTGAGCCTGTATATTATGCTCCACAGTTGGAGAAGTAATAACCCGTGCAGCATCCTTGTGCGCTCAGTATGGGCAGCTGTTGCATTGTAAAGTCTGCAGACATGAAACTTGGTGTCATACCCAAGTTTATTAGATCCATGTTGCACAGTGTAGCTGCACTAAACTTAGAAGGTTGTTAAAATCTCACAGTCTGTTGGAGGCTTAAGACCTGCCCTTACTAAGTTGCATTTTAATCTCTTTTATGTGGATATCTTAAATTGCGTCTTCATTTTATGTCTTGCTTTTCTGTTATTGTGAAGCACTTTGTGATGTCAGCTCTAGAAATGTTAATTTTATGCCACTTTATATTTCATTACATTTCATAGTTAAATGTCCACTTCATTTATCTGACAGGTTATGAGTTAATTAAGATTAGAACACTCACAATGTGATCACTGTGTTCCACCAGTGGACACAGGCTGCAGGTACTGATTGGGCTCCAGGTGTCATTAATGAGTTTAATTAGAGAGCATGTGTTGCACCAATATAAGACCAGAGGAGCCACATTCACCTCACAGCTCAGAGCTTCTGTTAATCTCAACAGGCTGCAGAGGACGAGTCAAACATGATGTACGGACTGTCTTTAAGGTGAGTTAAATCAGTTTATACAATATAACCAATGATTGCTCAAGTTCTACTTCAGTGTCAGCTTCTGGGGGGTTAACTTTGTTCTCCTGTCTCCACCTTACAGGGTGTCTTGGATCTGTCTGCTGCTGTTCAGCAGTGGTGCTTGTTTTCCTGCAACCAAAGGAGGTGAGTTTCTTTTTACTGTCTAGCAGCAGATTCCTGACCACACAGATGGTTCAAAGGTATCCAGAATTAATTTGCTTTTAATTTAATGGCTCTTCAGATGTTGTGGAAATGTAAAGAAATCACAAACTGACTTTGTCTCTCTGGTGCCATAAATCCTTAAACTACTTTGCTGAGAAATGCTTAAAGCTTCCTGAGATCTGATTCAACTAGTTTAGAAAATGCAAGTTTGAAAATCAAATTCCTACTCAAACACATCAAGTACTTGTAAGAACTTCCTGTATTGGCTGCAGATGCTGACTCACTTTGACTGTTTGTCCAGACTACAGGTATCCCTACACCTGGAGCTCTGGTGGTGGTTCAGCTCCTGGATCAAACCTTGAGTCTGAAGGCTCACGTCCTCCTCTGGTGAACCTGCAGTATGAACCATCTGTTAGTTCTCAGCAGCCTGAGACAGCCCCCCAGCAGGCCAGCTCTTCCACTGGAAACCAGTCCCCATCCAGTGTGGGAGCTCCCAGTGCATCTGCAGCCTCTTCACCAAGTTATGGGAAGAAGACTCCCAGCTTCTCTGTGCAGCCTCAGTCTGCTGCTGGCACCAGTGGAAACCTCAACATGGGCTCAGGTGGGGCGGCATCTGGTCCAGTGTACGGGGCTGCTCCAGCATACCCTGCTGCTGGGTACATGGACTTTGGTGACGGACCTGTTCCTTACATCGGTGCTCCTGCAGCCTCCAGCTCTGCCAGCTCTTATGCTTACGCTGCTCCTGTAGCCTACAGCTCTGGTGATGACGGTGATTTTTCTCCTGGCCTTCCTTGGTCCATGCAGCCTGCAGGGGGAGCCGACTCCTCATTCTCCGACCCCAGCAACTGGATGCCATCTCGTGATTTCCCAGACTTCAGTGTCTGGGACTCCAATGCCGAGATGCCGCAGAGCATGAGCGAGACTTCCCCTCTGCCCCCTCTGCCGCCTTCATCCTACATCATCCAGTCTAGAAATGGCTACCAGCGAGCACAAGAGTTCCTTTCCCACACTAAATACTCCCCAGAGTACCCTGAACCACCAGTCTTTGCTGCTGAGACCGTCAAAGCACCACACATGTCTCCACCAGAGGCTGGGAGCAAAGGAGGAAAGAAGGTTTAAAAAGGTAAAATGCAAACTGAAGTTAAGCTGTCACACAACAGTGATGTCCTCATAAGTAACATTTGGCCTTCTTGTGTTGCAGGTAACTTGGCAAAACTTCAGCCTTCCAGAACTGTTTGAAAAATAAAAATCTAACCATGAAACTTGTTTGCTTGTCACTTAGTTCTTGTCACCCACACATGGGTTCAACTTGTGTAAATGTGGAATTCAGTTTAATTAGATCAGCCAGACATCTGTAGACACAAGGTCTCTGTGATCTTGAGATCCAACCATTTATCATTTACCTTCGACCCCATGGTCACATTGGTCACCGACATGGACTCTAGCCATGAAACTTTGCAGCCCAAGGATGCGGTGGCAGCCTACTGGAGTTCAAGACACCCAAGGAGGATCCTTGGAGATTTGGTGGTGAAGGAGCATGCTAAACTGTTTCCTCACCCCAGCATCAAGCACAGCCAGTGACAAGACTTCAAATCTGCTGGATCTGTAATTCAAGAATTGAGAATCTTAATGAGTTAAGCATTTCTTGCCATTTTCTGACAGTTACACTGAAGTTATTGACTCAGTTTACTTGACACACTGAGAAATCATTAGCTGCAGCCCTATGAGAATCTAAAACATCCAAAAGCCAGTAACAATCGACATTTCACAGCATTTTGATCACTTGACCTGCATGTACCTAATTTGAGGGTCCAGGAGAGGTAGAGCACAATGTCTAAAAGGCACTTCACATAATGTAAAGCTACTCTGATCAGCTAGATTCATTTTTAACAGCAGCAATGAACCCTTTCAGAACAGTGAATGTCTGAAGCATTTTGATGTTTTTGTTGTTGGATGGTGATCTTTGCAAATCAGTGAACAGACACATGTTCTTTTTCCCACTTCAAGTGATAGGTCAAGTTTTTCAGGGTGGGTTTTTATGGGTTACTAACACTGATCAGCCAAGATATTAAAACTACTGACAGGTGAAGTGAACAACATTAAACATCTTGTTACAGTGCAGTGTTCTGTTGGGAAACCATGGGTTCTGACATTCAGGTGGATGCCACCAGACACGCTCCAACCACCTGAACACCAGTGCAGAGCAGGTACGCCCCTGTCATGGCAACAGCACTCCTCAGTAGCAGTGGCCCCCCCAGCAGGACAATGCGCCATGCCACACCACAAAAGCTGCTCAGGAATGGTCCGAGGAACGTGACACAGAGTTTAAGGTGTCAACCTGTTCTCCAAATTCCCTGGATCCCAACCTGATCAAACATCCATCTGAAATTACCTGAAACTATGGCCATGTTTAATATGAACATCCAACACTATCCAACAGAAAATATGGAAATCAAAACAGGTCCCCTTTTGAAAACCCTCATATTTTTTTTACTACAGACTAGATCTTACTATATAATGACGAAAACTGTGTGTGTGTGTGTGTGTGTGTGTTCCATGTTTTTCTCCTCACTGACTTGGTCAATCCATGTGAAATTTGGCACAGTGGTAGAGGGTCATGGGAGGATGCCAATGAAGCAATATTACATCAATTGGCCAAAGGGGGGCGCTATAGCAACCGATTGAAATGTCAAACTTTGAATGGGCATATCTCATGACCAGTATGTAGTAGAGACATGAAACTTTGCACAGAGATGCCTCTCCTCATGAGGAACACATTTGCCTCAAGAACCCATAACTTCCGCTTATATAGATTTTCCGCCATTTTGAATTTTTTGAAAAACACTTCAAATGGACC